CATGGAGGGAGTATACATTTCGGGCAGGCCTACGATGTGCAGACTGTTCTGCCGTGAGCAGTTTTGAAGATCGTCTACCTTTTCTTGAAGATCTCTTTGAACCGTAGTGAGTCTGGCTACTGCGGCAGAAATAGCCAATGAGTCGTCTTTAATGGAGGAAATCCTATCTTCCATCTGAATAATGTGCTGGGCCTGGACATGGAGATGGAGATTTTTATGAAGCTGTTCTAGCCCTTTAAGAATCGCATTCTCAACAGCCGCCTTGAAAGTAGGTGTGAGGAGCGCCATATCTGCGTAAGCAAAGCCCTTTGGTGAGGCAGGGTCTGGAGGCTGGGAAGCTGAGGGCTGCAGCTGCAGAGTAGTTGTCCGGTCCCCTGTGTTAGTGTTTGTGCTGGTAGCGGCCGCCATCTTGGCTGCAGCAGCTGCTGTTCCCCCCTGTGACAGGCGAGGAACAGAAGAGGAGTGTACCGCGGGTGTGAAAGGGGGGGGGGGTGTCAGTCTCCGAACCGCAGCAGGTTTGGAACTAAGTAGCGGAGGTGGTCAGCAGGAGCAGAGACAGCTCACCTCTTCTCCATGCGGCACCAGAATCGGAAGTTGGAACACTATTTAATCAGAATATAGCAACAAATCAATTAAACTCCTGGGATATTGATCTGGTCGGTTAAGTAGCAGAGGGGGTTGTTAATCAGTTTCAGTTGCTTTAGTGTTAATGAAATTGAAAACAGGTGCACTACATGGGCAACAATGAGACAACCCCCAAAACAGGAATGGCTTTACAGGTGGAGGCCACTGACATTTTTTTCCCTACTCATCTTTTCTGACTGTTGTTCACTAGTTTTGCATTTGGCTAGGATCAGTGTCACTACTGGTAGCATGAGGTGATACCTGGACCCTACAGAGGTTGTACAGGCAGTCCAACTCCTCCAGGATGGCTGCCAGGTTGTACCTTAGACTGTCCAGGAGCTCAGTGATGCCCCGATCCAGATCTGGGAGGAAATTACCCAGGACATCATCTATCGTCTCATTAGGAGCATGTCCTGATGTTGTCAGGCATGAATACAAGCACGTTTGGGGCCAAACTACTGAGTACCATTTTGAGTTGCTGCAATGATATTTTAGCAAAATGGACTAGCCTGGTGCATAATTTTTTCACTTTGATTTTTGGGGTGTCTTTAAATTCAGTCCTCTGTAGGTTAAAAATATCCATTTCCCTAAAATGATGGGGCATCCTTACTTTCCTAACACATTATCTGTCCATATCAGTATAGATATTGAGCATATTTTTCCCCATTGAGATCTGATGTGTTTTTTAAAGTGTTCCTTTAATTTTTTTTGAGCAGTGTGTATATATACAAAACACACGCCTTTTTTTTCTTTTTTTTAATAAAAAATCATATGACCTCTATTCTCAGCTGCACAAGGAGCTTAGAGAGGTGGGAAGGAGTGGATAAACAACAGGACACTGATCTTCATAGTGAAAGGCTGTGAAGGGGGTGGCTGTCAGCAAAAGTCTGACACTTAGTGGACTGGCAGGCTCCCAGCACAGTACCAAAACCGACCACACTGGAGTGGATGTGCTCTCATGCCTAGCATGGTCAACTTAAAACAGGGCAGCACAGAGACTGGCAGAATCACCAGATATTTCATACAAAAGAACTAATACGAATAGAACAGGATACTAAAGTACATGATATAACAGACACATATCAAGAATATGAAATTGTAATTGGTGCTGCGCTAATTCTAAATATATATATTAATGTGAAAAAGAAATATTCCTCAATAAATCTCACATAAACATATAAAAACCACATCACATAGAATAAAGTACTGAATAGAATACACATGAAACATCCAAAATGGTGGATAACAGTGAAAAAACACCCAAAATATACAAAAGGTGTAACCTAGGTACACCACTAATAATAAATAGGTGACTATGGGTGAAAATACTACTACATAATAGCCATAAATGGTGCCAACTAAACAGTGATCTGATCCATAAATAGGATCCCAACAAGACAGTGCTTAATAAGCACTAAATAATGCTGTGATGTGAAAAGATGCCGCAAAAGCTACTGTGTTGCAACTGAACCGTTGCTATAGAAAATAAAAGAATATATACACATTCACAGTGCACATAGTGTAAATCAATAAAAGTGAAGAGCAAAACCAGTATAAAACTGTATATGGTGAAAATAAGCCACAAGGCTTATATAGCGCAACAAAGTTGCTAGAGAAAAATGATCAAACAGGATATACAAATAAAATAAGAATATAGATAAATAAATAGAAGTGAACCATACAACAATGATCCCTAAATAGGGGAGATAAAGTGGATAAATAATTAAATAAGTGACACAAAAAAATATGGACCAAACTAAGTCCCAAAAAAACCAATGAATCACAAACTCCATGCAATCCAACCAAAACCATAAAGTCCAAAACCCCTAAACCAGTGAAGGTGTTCTATAGTCCTTAAGTTGTGCTGGTGTTTTTAAGGTGTATACATAAAAGGAGGAGATCCGACACTAGGCGAATTGCCCCCTCACCTCCATGGAGTGACCGTACAGGGTCAAAAACACCTTTCTCAAACAATATCGCACCAACCGGGAACCAGGACCCACTTCAGAAGGTATAAGGTACAGCGATGGATCAATCCCCCTCGCTGGTGGATACCAGCACAGCAGGAAACCTCTCCAGAGCAATAAACCTAGGATCAGCCAATCCTCATGCAGAAAGAAGAAATAGAAAGGAAGATGCTCCCATAGTGTGATAACGTATTAATTTATTTAAAAAGAAGTAAAAAGAAGTAAAACGAATGCCCACTCACATGTATATATCTTTTACGTAAGCATTTTGAAAATCCACATGTTGTGGGTGTAGTTGCATAGATGTGTAGTGAAGTACCAAGATGGTGTCAACACCGGACATTACGTCAACATATCCGGACATTGCGTCACCACGTGCCACGCGTTACGTCATGCTCACAAGTGACTTCCTCAGGGTAACGTGATTGGTGACATCTATTGCAATTAATAGGGAGTCTATCTGTCACTCAAAAGGGGGAAAGGCGGACTCCCGGTGGCCATTTTACTAGAGTACACATTGAACGACATGCAGGGCACCATTCCTCTGATTGTATAGAGGAACTAAATATACATAATAAATATCATGCCCTCGATCCTGGGACATAATAAAAGGGGATATTTATATACAGTGAGGAACAGAAGTATTTGAACACCCTGCGATTTTGCAAGTTCTCCCACTTAGAAATCATGGAAGGGTCTGAAATTCACATTGTAGGTGCATTCCCACTCTGAGAGACAGAATTTAAAAAAAAATTCAGAGAAGAAGAAGCGTGGTGTGTCTGAAACTTGGACAAAGATGGCTGGTTTAAAGTAGTTACTTTTCCGAGGAATTATGGCATAAATGCAAAACATTTAGCTTTGCCCAAGTAGGCCACTTGTTGCAAGCCCGAAACAGAGCTAGAATCAGATGCTGAGATCAGTGTTATGAGTCTTCTCCGGCTCTGGTGCAAGAGGCACATTGCCACTGTGAGACAATGTTGTTGCAGGTTGTAATCAAATGTTCGCCAGCGGTTTTGCAACGACTTCCTTTTACCTGATCTCTGCCAGAGCTGTGAGAGTATTCCCCTGTGGGGGAGTAGGGTACAAAATACAGGGTAAATGTGTCCAGAAGGAGAACACAGCAACTGGGTGTACACCTTACTGTCATCAGAGAGTAAGGGTAGGAGGAAGCATCTCAGAACCATATAAGGGATCTAGGTGGATGTGGCTGTAAAATGTGCAGCCTGTAGTGTGATGTAACACGTCATCTGCCGAAAGTTAAGCTCTGAGTGGTTGAGTCCGTGAGCAAAACTGGAAAAGGTTACACCGTAGTAAATACAAATCAAATATCGTCCCAGTGATTAACTAGTCAGAACCTGTCCATGATGCTAGACTGTATCAGGTCAAGACTCTGCCCATCATGGTGAACATACAGCTGAAGAGGTTATCAGGGACTGGTTCCATAGGGATGGACAATGGCCCTGGATCATATAGCACTCTGCGGCTGACTGTACACGTTGCAGTAAGTTCCAAGGTGATCGCCCATGCAGCATCTAGTACCGAAAGCAACATTACAGGCCACCCCTCACACGAGGTTCATGTTTCGCCGATCCAGATGCACCACTTCTATTTGTGGCATTAGAAGGTAGTGTGGAATTGATTGAATTCAAAAAAAAAAAAAAAAAAAAAAAAAAAAAAAGTATAAAAAATGGTTAAGCCAAGAGTGATTGCTCTGTGAAGGACACTGAAAAAAAGGATTCATGGAGTTAGTTGGGTTGGGTCATAGGGGAGGTGTACAGGGGGCATGTCAATTGTCAGTGTCCAATCACCTGAAGGTACAGGCCCAGGGTCTATTAATACGTTAAAAAATCTTTTGCATTACATTTTTATTATCATCATCAGAGATCTAACAAATTAGCTTAACTGAGTAAAAGATGACATAGAAGAAATAGTTCAGATCCCACTTATAATATAATATTAAATATAACAATGACATGCCATTTATAATTCAAACCTCGAGGTACTCTTGTAATACAAAATTCAAGAATACAGCACTTTTATTTAGAATGGTCACTCTATCTCTATACTGCTCACCTGTGACTGAAGTGGAAGCGGCAAGCGACCACAAGTGATATCATGGATAGTCAGGTTTTGCTGATCCAAGAAGTTGTATATGTCTCTGAACTAGTTAAAACATTTAAATATTTTGATATACTGTACATGGGAAAATATTCAACATGTATCCCCCCATACTAGCACTATATGTCCATCTAATTATAATATAAGCAAGAATTTGACATTTTGCACAGTAGAGTAGGGACTGGCAACAGAGGGATCACTTTGACGCAGTTGGCCGGCTTCAGCATGTACTGCAGTATATGCGAACCAAGAATCTCTGTTTTTATACAAAAGCATGAACATTTGACTTGCCTTTTCCCAGTTAAGGTAGGCACTCAGACAAGATCCAACATCATTCTTTGCCAAGTTCTTCAATACAGCCTGTATTGCTTTACTGACAACTCCATGTGTAGAAAAGATATCATTCCATGAGCTCACAATGAACAGTAGCAGTTTGGCAGGGTCTGGAAAATCTAAATGAGGACATAAATAGAAAATTAAGCAATTCTGTAAACATGGACAAGTTTCACACCAGCCACAAATGACCAAGAATACCTTTTAAAGGTCTGAGGACAGCTCTGCATTTTAAAAGTGTTCTATACTTTACCTCACATGCAAAAAGAGAAATTATGTCCTCAATAGCAATGAATAGTAGTGCATGTAAAATACATAAATTAACCACTTCACCTCCCGCACCTATATGCACTTTATGGACCAGAGCAATTTTTACATTTCTGCCAAGGGTCTTATGATCTCATTAACACAATTGTCATTACTTACCATACTAAAATAAAACATATACCTTTGTTTGGGAACAGGCAAGGCTTTTTTTTGTCAGGGATCTTCAAGTTAGACCAGCATTAATTCTATGTGTTACTATACAATAAAAGGTACACATTTTGTTCAATAGTTTGTTTTGTTTCTCATAATATTATAATGTTGTTTCTAGTAAAAAGGTTTCACAACTGAAATAACAGGATTTTATATTACTGTAAAATCCCTTTCTCTTCATTGATGGCCACAGCCTCTTCAGTGTCTGAGACACCAGAGCTGTGGCCAACACAGGCCGGTGGGCAGACCAAGAGAAGGTAAACAGACTTTACTAGTCCATTGCTGTTCTGAGATTTGCCGGGTCCTAAAAGGAGGAGAACCCCTCAACCAGGATGACCATGACCCGGTAAGCCGGGAGATAAGCTTATCCATCACCGGCAGAGAGGTCCAATCCTTCAAAAGGGCACCTTAAAGGGGTAGCATACCGCAAGGTGCTTAGGGAGGACAAATGGATGCCTCAGATGACCCCAGAACTTGCAAACAAGTTTGTAAAAATGTGTGTGGTAAGGGAAAACTTAGCCAAAGTCAGTGCACCAAAGAGAAATCCCACTGCATACCACCCCACAGAAGCTCAAAATAGTAGCCCACGGGTCCCCATAGGACTGCTGGCAGGGGCCAAACATCCCTGGTAACAACAGGTCAGGGAGGTGTGCCATCATCACTCAGGCGGTAATCACTGACCAGGGGCCCCCTGCAAGCTTCAGTCTCCCATCAGGATGGAGCTCAATACAAGCATGGAGAGGGTTATTATGGCCAATGCTCCAGGCAAACTTGAGTGGCACAGCTCACTCAGCACCAATCCCCCAGCTCTGCCCAACTAGTATAGGTACCGGGACACTAGATAGGACTGTTCTGTCAGAGCACCTTTGTTTATTTTTTCTTAAATTATAATGGGAGCCTAGGTACAGCCGCTCTCAACAAAATGGCTGCCATCTGAGGCCAGCAAAAGATGGCCGACGCTGCAGCCAATAGGAGCCCCACTGTTAGAAGCCAGTAACATGGGCGTGCAGAAATGGACTGTGTCATCACCAATGGTCCGCCCCTGGAATGTAGCGAGTGCTGCCATCACTGCTAGCAAAGGGCAGATGCCCACAGTTAAGATGCTGCGGCCTAAATTGGTGGCCAGTCCGAACGTGTGGCGCACTTCTACCCGTGGGTGGGCCCAGTGAGAGACCCAGAACCAGGCTACAACTGCCAACCAGCCCCAGGTCACAGCTGGAGGACCGGAATAAGCACAGGGGCACCTGAGTAAGCCAGTCCACATCCTACGTTGCCTCCCCCCTTGCAAAGAACCCACCTGCCAATAGTTGTGATGGGATCCACAGGGCAATCATCTACACCCCTGCACATGTAGCCACCACCAGACGGCCAGGAGACAGTGTGACCATAGAAGGACCCATGCAGAATGCAATCCCAGTGCTGCAGGCAAACCCCATGCCCCAGAGGAAAAAAGGGGAGGAGAACCCCATAGTGACCGGCCACCCCAGGGAATACCTGTGCCCCACACAGCGTCCGAAGAGGGGGGCATCTACTTACCAATCTATCTGGAGTATGTGGGTATGGCTCAGATGACAGATCCTCCTCTCCAACGAAATGGGGGGGGGGCTATCAGCCAGGGGTAACACTGTGACACAGACTATAGGCGCTTGATCATATGTGTGCAAGGCGTTTAAACTTGTTGGCTGCCCCGGTCCAGGATGGGGAAAAGTCGCAGCCAACCCAGCGCTTAGCTAAAGGTCTGCGCGTGCTCACTGGTCAGACTGGGGTGACCACTGGATCTAGGCTATCCAGTCCATGACCCAGCCCAACTGCTGATAGAAGATCGCCACAGGAAAATCCCAGAAAAACAAATAATGGAGAAAGAAAAAAAAGGGAAAAAGTTATAACACCACAAGTCCCAGCATAAAAAAATACCTCCAAACTCCTGAGACACTAGGCAGAAATTACTGGATGCCTATAGCAAAGAGGGGGTATTATGCCTAGAAAGGACTGCCCATAGGAGGATCGCGGTTTTTTTTTTTCTGCGTAGTGTCCTAGGGCTATAAAACCCTGTTTGGTCATGAATAAAGAAGAGGCTGTGCATGTCAACGAACGTAAAAGCAAACATTTTTAAAAAATATCAGCAAAGAGTAATACCTAAAGTAGCCATTCTGAACCAGGGTTTTGTGGAACCCTAGAGTTCCTCAGAAAGTTCCTTGGGGTTATTTGAGCTGTGACTAACTTTCCATTTGATGGTGCCTTAATAGTTTTGGAGCCAGAGCTACCTGGTGGAGCCAGCTGTTTATACCACTGATCTTTTAGGTGTCTGTAAGGGTGGCAATTCTGACTACCACTATAAGTGGGCATTCTTTGCACTTTCCACCAACATAATTGGCATTTTTCCACTGACACCCACCCTCCTTCCCTTGCAATGAATTGGAAAATACACATACATTGTATGCTATTATTATTATACAGGATTTATATCTTGCCAACAGTTTTGTGCAGTGCTTTACAGTATAAAGGGAGACAGTACAGTTACACTAGGTTCAGAGGGTCCTGCTCATAAGAGCTGATGGAAGAATTAGAAGTTCAGTTGTTAGGTTGAGGTGGGATAGGCTTCCCTGAAGAGATGAGTTTTCAGGGATCACCTAAAGGTCGCCAGAATAGGAGCGAACGGTCACTCCAGAGGATGGAAGAGGTTCTGGAGAAGTCCTGGGGACAATCATGGGAGAAGGAAACAAGAAAGCTAGAGAGCCAAAAGGTCTAGGGAGGAGTGAAGAGGATGGCTTGGGTGATATTTTGACACAAAATTGGGGGATGTTGCTCCAGGCAGATTTGTAAATGGCTTTGTGTGGTGTTGTTAGTATTATGAATTTAAATTACTGGGCAATCGGAAGCCAGTGGAGAGATTGGCAGAGATGGATGGCAGAAACTGAGCAGCTGGTAAGGTAGATGAGTCTGTCAGCAGCATTCATAATAAACTGAAGGGGGAATAGCCTGCGCAGAGGTAGGCCCTAAGAGAAGGGAGTTGCAATAGTCAAGGTGAGAAATAACAAGGGAGTGAATGAGTAGCTTGGTGGTTTCATTAATTAAAAAGGGGCACATTTTAGAGATGTTATGGAGTTGAGGTCTACAAGATTTTTAAAGTGATTGGATTTGGGGCTGAAGAAACAGGTCAGAGATTGGGATTACTTACTGAAATGTAGTGTGGTGCTCTTTCAATGTGTCATATTATCACCAATACGCATTACAAAACTTACAATAAACGTAAATAACATCAAATAATCAAATACAGCCTTTTATTCAAACCAATCTGCCTTATTTCTTGTACATTTCCACCATAGAAAGCGCTCAAAACCTCTTTTCCACTTGTGTAAAGTCACCACCACTACCAGAGGGGCTCTCACCTGGAATCCATGACCTTACATTCTATGTAGGGTAAAATGAGCTTGTGTTCCCTTTAAATAGACATATATAAAACTTCAGGGTTCCATGGGTGGTCCTCTGTTAGCATTTTAGCAACCTCCGCCATGCACTCTTAAATAGGAGTCTTTCTTATTTTTTCATACGCTTCCCTTTTAAGGCAATATTTCCAGCTTTTCTCCATCTTCTTCTCTTTCACTCAACCACATACAAAGATGTGCTTCTTGTCCGATTTCTGTAGTGTGTGTCAGCCTGCTCTATTTATTGGGAATGGAGATACACCTGTCTACATCTGCAGAGTCTATGATTACATCTAGTACGCTGATCAATCATTTGCTTGATCCACTTTTCTGGGTTTGACCAGCTGTCCCTGGCTAACCCCTGTGCCGAAGAAGAGGAAGTCAAAGTTGGATTACCCTCCGACACTACAATGGCCATAGTTCTACAGTGCACAAGGTGAGGGGTGGACAAACGGCACAGGGATGGAGCAGGGGCCACACAGGACCTGCTAAGCAAAACGGTGGATCCCTAAGGCTACCTAACATCTACCATATGGGTGGAGTGGATAGCCCCTAGTGGCCAAAGAAGATAGTGATCAACTGTTGAGATGTCTCATTAAACATGAAGTTTTACATGCAATGGAGGTGAGAGTTCTGAGAGCACAGACGTGGCACCAATTAATGCATGGAATTCACATTAAGCATGGATTCTTATTCTATGTTGTTTTTATTACGTTACAATTGTAATATGAGCTCTACACACATTTTTTTGCCGCAATTTGATATCAGTTCACTTTGATTGGGTAGTAATTGATGATACCTATATTAATTTATTTAGGCATTATGAGCACTTTGTATCTAGTTTATTCACTCTGTTCAACTATGATGGACTGATATTTTATTTAATATTTTGCAAGCAGCGCTACATCACATTTTATTTCAGCTGCATTGTGGGAACACAATTGATGATAGCAGCAGCATTCACAGTAGCAGACACTCTTTATATATTACTCTGTAGGTGCAGACGTTTATTTCACTTATTTTTTATACTGCTACATTGCTTTGGTAAAAATAATCACAATCTGTGTGTATTATTTGTTCTTTGTGAAAGATATAGAGTCTACAAACTATGGTACCAATCATTGAAAATTGATCACACCTGATCAAACCTGATGTACTGATGGCCTATCTCATTTCTTGAGACACTAACAAGCCAGGACAGTACAAATACCCCCCAA